TTCACGTTGTGGAGTTTCTGCACGAGAAAATACTACTCCGCCACGTCGTGCACCGAATTGTTCTCACTGACCGTGAAACTCCATTCAGCTATCGTCTTTTCAAACACGAGACGGTGGCTTATAGACTGCACCGCGCCCAGACAACTTCCTACCGGCCCCAAACCAACTCAGGCGTCGAGATTGCCAATCGCACCATCAAAGATATATTGTGCGCATATGGAAATGCTTCACACGACAATCGAGATCTGTACGTACCATACATAGCTTTTGCTTTAAACACGTCGCAAAAAGCGAGTACCGGAACGTTCCCATTTAAGCTTGTGTACGACAGAACTCCGGTTCTTCCACAAGAGTCAAAGTTATCCACCACGTGGACCCCGGGAAGGCAAGAGAGGACTGCCCGTCTTGAGAACCGACTAGACAACGGCCGACGCCGTGCTCGCGTCGCCATAACCAGAGCCCTGCTGCGGATGCTAACCAAACACCGACAGGACGGTCGAGTGCCTCCCATATACTCTAAGAAAAAAGGAAGGAAAAAGGCAGCAACAAAGCTTCTCCGTCCCTTCTACTGACGCGCCCCCAAGCGGACACAGAAAAAAAATAGGATCAATATCTTTTCCTCCCCCCATAGGCTGACGGGAGGAAACTTCCACCCTAATGCCCTAAGGCGAAGGCCGTCTATGCTTCAATCTCCCAACCCAAGCACGCAGACTCAGAAATTTTTTCTGCAGTGCCGTATTTACTGTTCATTTTGTGAAACGGAACCGTTAGAAAGAGCGAAGTTTCCAAACGTTTGAAACGGTGCTATGTACAATGGACCTAATATAGCGGTGTCCGCAGTCGTCGCGGTCGGGTCTGTGATGCTGCTGTCGCTGCTGCAGCATTTGCTGCCGCAGCGAATGTTTTGTCTGTCGGTCATAAAAGTCTGGTTCCCGTGTGCGTCTCCTGTGCTACTTTTTTATTTTGTTATCCGTCACTGAGGGCCCATCGGCGATGAGCCTGGAATGGCAGTGGTTCTTATTGTGAACGAAGACGTGAACCGTGGCGGATGTTTCCATGTGTTTTGCGTACCAGCGGTGTAACAACGAGATGACGTGTGTTCTCTTTTATATTAGAGTTGAATTAAACTACTCGAGAGATTACGGTACAATCGATCGGTGTAGCGTATCGACTCAGACGCTGACTGGCGCGAGCACATGAGGCGCGGGACCGGACCAGCGTTCCGCATGCCAGGCAAGCGCATTCAAGCAACGAGCCGCCACCAGCCAGAGCAACCTTTGTCATGCTTACCTTTTATAGTAAACGCCGATGGCGCTGTTAAGTACCGAGCGAAAGAGGACACCTTGGTGGACTTAGCGCGATGCGCCCCGCTTTACGAACTCAGATATGTACATACATCATGGTCCTGTTCGAGAAGGCTCGGCGTAGAAGAGGCCGCGGCTCGCGTTGGCACGCGCAGGTGCGTTGATCCATGCTCGCGCGCCGCGCTCTCTCACGATACACTTCAGTACACAACACGTTCCCCCTAAACATAATTCTGAAAGTACCGAGGACGACGCTGTCCACGCTGTGGGCGTCCTAACGAAGAAACACCTGGAGTTGGATTTGGAGACTGCGGATGCGGTTTTGATACATTATCCTAGACGGACTCTTCCGTACTCGACGTGACGTCCGGTCCGACGTCTTGGCCAGTAGTTCCGAAGTTTGGCACGTCGCAGCTGCCCCTAACAGTAGGGTTTGGCATATCGCATTTTCTACTTCGGATGTGATCGATGTGTCGCCGCCACACACGTCCGTCTTCAAGCTGTACCTAATAAGAGACAAGTCCCAACTGGCATAAAATCTCCCCTGGCAACCAGCGGTTCCCGCTTGCGCTGAAATTCATTGCAAACACGATGCTTTCCTGCGCGAACTGCAAAGCACCGCAAAAAGAATCACCGTTCTTTTTGAGAATAGGCACGACTGAGGTTGCCCATGAGGTATGCCTTACTGGTTCAAAAATTCCTTGTTCGACCAATTTTTTGATTACTTCGTCTACCTTGGGCAGCAGCGGAAGTAGAATCTGACGAGCCTTGAAAAATTTGAAAGTCGCGGCAGGGTCGACATCCACACAAACAGGGGGTCCCCTGCTTCTTTCGAGTCCTGGCTGAAAAAGCTTGGGAAACTCGTCAATCACGTTGTGAACCGCAGCCGCTTCCACCTGAGGCGTCGATGTGTCGACATGAAGGACCCCCTCCAAGGAGATGCCCAAGGACCGGAACCAGTCGCGCCCTGGCAGGCTCACACCAAACCCTTTGACAACCACAAGTTCCAATTTCATTTTCTTCTCCTTGAAGGACACGTCGGTTGTTTCGCTTCCGAGAACTTCTAGACGCCGGAAGACGCACGGCCTGAGGCGATAGCGCTTACGCCAATGGTGTGTTCTTTAAGCTCGGTATTTAACAACCGGCCTGAGAATAATATTGGAACGCAGCTTCAATTCACCGTGACTAACGTGACTGTCGTTTGGCGCCTTTTCGATTGAACATAAGCGGCTGTTGTATTCAATAGAGACTGAACAGGCTTGAAATATACCTGAAATAAACCATGTCTGACTCCTGCAGCAGCGACGCATATATGATTTCTGGTTAATAAAGTTTGTTAAATGAAAATAAAAAAATAAATAAATGGTGTCAGGGGAATATACACACGTATATTCCCTTAGCAAACATCTGCTTGCCTGTCCTCTGGACGACGGAGTCCTGGGTTTAAGACCACCATGGTTTCTGTTGCTGTACTTTGCAGTTTGATCACTTATTCAGTGGTTTGACATTATCTATCGGGAATATCGTATCCAACAGTTTGTTCATTTATTATGTTTGTGCCTTCTCGTTCAACACAGCTCATTCTCAGTAACCATGGCAAGGACTGTGATAGAGCGAGTGGTATTTGCCATATACAAAAAGCCCGTTATTATTTTGGTGCCTTGTACACTTGCAAACGTGATAGCGCACAAGGGAAACACTGTTGTGACGCGCTTCCGAGATGCAGAAAGTGGAGCTTAAAAAGCCAGAGTTCATAACGCTTGCCACCTCACAGAAAATCTGACTACCCATGATATGGTCATGACACGAGTTAAAAGATATGCATGGTTGCTAAAGCTCAGAGATTGTTTTTTGGGTCGTTAACAACATCCATTGTCTGGTAAAACAAATTTCTGGCATAACTACAATGTATTTTAACAAATTCCAGTGCTCTTTTGTTTCAGCTCTTGGCTATCCAATGAGTTGCTGGAAAACAGCCTAGATAGAATATTAGATTGTTATAATTTCATTAAGAATGCAAAATATAACGACAAAACAAATTGAGGTACGTTTCAACTAAGTATTGTTTTCTCTGGAGCAAAAGAGAATGGCACTTTACCAACTAGGTCACCAGCAGTCTTCCTTTTAGTGAACTACATTACTACAAATGCTGCTACTCGGCTGCACAAAATGTCAGGGAGGAGTTCCAGTTGTCCCGCCTCCAGCACATGTTTCTTGCCTTCTAAAGCGTTTCGGTGCATCGTGATCTTGAGTGTGTACGCACAGCTACAGAATGGCGAAAGGCAACGAGCGTAAGTTGGAGGCTAAACGTCTGAAAGAGATGGCCTGCCGTTCTTATTGTGTCAGTGACTATGTAGCAGTGATTACTTAAAAGTAAATAAGTCGCTTGGCAAGCTGTGATCTTTCCTGGGAAAGTAATAACCGAGAGGTCATATTGTTTGCTTTATATGTTTCTGTGAAACTTCCCATTATGGTGAACCAAATGAGTGTGAAACCACCAAAAGTTGTAATATTCCTCCTTGTATTGTTAAAATAAAACAAACAAAAACAGTACAGGGAGGATTGTATGTTTATTAACAAGAATTATAATCAAGGAGAGAAACTTAGAAAATACTTTCACACTTTGACAAGTTGAGGAAGATTTTAGGCAATAAAAAGTACCCAAACACCAGCTTCAATGGAGAGCAAATTCGGCACACAAGACCCAATCTCAGAGGAAAGCCGAAGTTTAAAACCCGAAAGAGAGTTTAAATCTCCCCTAGCATAACGTAGGATAATCCCAGAGGTCTCACAATTCAATAAGGAACAGAGTCACAAAGCCACATATGTTCAAACCGATCAATGCTTTTGATTGTTGATTATACTTGCACATTTTTATATATAACCCGAAAAGCCGAAATCGCAGAATAGTGTTTCGAAAAACCCGATTTCTCCCCGATTGCCAGCATGCGGAAGAGCGCCTGATTTTTAACCCAGATTTTTTAACATATCGAAACCGAAGAGGAAGGCCCTTACCTAAAGGGTGAGTCAAATGGATTGCTAACCTATTAAAAAAACCGCATATATCAGTTTCTTAACATATCAAGCTAAGAGTTTCTACAGAGGTGGCTAACAATGGTGCATTTTGTGCATTAAATCTTAAAAGAATGAGCTTATTTCAGTAAAGAGCTAAACATTAAATGTGAAGTTGCTACTTATGGTGTCCCTTCGCTAATGAAAGGCATCTGATTAGTACAACAGCTGACAGATGGCAGCAGCCGTTGACAGATGGCAAAAATAGCCCACCAAAAAAGTATTTTTGGTTTTGTGGCTATTCAGTGTGTTTCATTAGTCACAATAACAAACTCTTTACTACACTGCAAAAGCCCGCACCGCATTCAACACGAAAACCTTGTCTTCCATTGCAGAGGTTGTGGGAAGCACACATAGCCGCCTGCAATCTTATGTGCCGACTGTAGGTTGTTGTGAAAATCGGATGCCTTTCGTTAGCAGACGGACGCCGTAGGTAGCGAATTCACACTCCTCTTGTTTATATTTTACTCGGGTAAGTTTTTTCTTTAAAACGTTGATACACAAAATGCACTATCTTTCACCACCACTGCAGAAAATCTTACCTCGCTACACAAAGAAAATAATTTGTGTAGTTCCTTCAAAGAGCCGACAATCTATTTGACTTACCCTTTAGAATGTTGTTTCTCACAGCAGAATGTCCTCAAACTTGCAAAACTGCAAAGTGAGGAACAATCTCATAGAAAGTTCCCGCATTGTACAGGTCAAGTAGCCTAAAGTCGAAATGGTTGTCTGGCATCACTGCCTAACATCGACACATTTCTCGACAATGTAGGAGCACCTGTGATTGCAGAAACGCACAGTTTCCAGGCGTTTACAAAGAATTAATACACCACTCATCACCAGCAGCCTCTCCACTTGCAGAAACTTTGGGGTGTCATTCTACACTTCGGAGACGAACACATGTCTCAGACGGTATGTGCAGCTGTTGGTGCTAGCAGTCTTCACAGAGCAAACGGTGCCAGGTAGCACGCCAGTGGAATGCCCAACTTGGCCGAAGGTCTGGCAAACATAACGGCCCAACTTTGGCGCTGTTAGGATTTTGCACCATGGCAATCATGAGTGCCAAAGTACGGTGCCTAACTGTAGCCGTAGTTGGGCGATCCTAGGGCATGCCAAAGTTTGGCTCTTCTCTGGAACGCCAGAGGAGCGCCATATTTGGTGCCATACCTGGGCCATAACTGCCAAAACAACGCCGAATTCGGGTATTTTGGACATGCCAAGTTTGGCCTTTCTCTGGTCCGCCACAGTTCTGCCAAAGTAAGTGCCAGACTTGAACCATAACTGCCAGAGCAACGCCTAATTTGGTATTTCGGTCACACCAAGTTTGGCTTTTCTCTGGCCAGCCACAGTTGTGCCAAAGTAAGTGCCAGACTTGAGCCATAACTGCCAAAGCAGCGCCTAATTCGGGTATTTCAGACATGCCAAGTTTGGCCTTTCTCTGGTCCGCCACAGTTCTGCCAAAGTAAGTGCCAGACTTGAACCCTAACTGCCAGAGCAACGCCTGATTTGGGTATTTCGGCCACACCAAGTTTGGCCTTACCCTGGTGCGCCACAGTTCTGCCAAAGTGAGTGCCAGACCTGAGCCATAACTGCCGCAATAAATCTTAATTTGGTGATTCGAGGCATGCCGAAGTTTGGCTCTTCTCTGGCTACCCACTGAAGTGAAAAATAAGTGCCAAAAGTGGCAAAGAAAGCGGAGAGGCCTGCCCAAGTTTGGAATATCTCTGGTGTGTCAAAAAAGTGCTCTTTCACGCGCCCCAGAAGAGAATTAAACTAAATAAGCGCTGGGAACACGATGGTCAGATGTCATCACTTCCGTTCCCAAGCAGCAGGGCAATACTTTGTGGTATCGTGCCAGTACCGGCCGAAAGTCGGTTGCAATATCGCTCAAATGCCCAGTGTTGCACCACCGTTTGATATCCGGCAGGTATTGCCGTAGAGCCGTTTTGCCCCGGCCTAGCGTTCGCGCAATAATGTGTGAATACTCTACGATGCGTCTGCTCTGTATTGGCCGAATGTCGTGCAAGTATGTGTACGTTGCATATCATTTGTTGCATATCCAATCACATGTACGGACAAACAAAATTTTTTCGATCGCTCTCAGGAGTTTATTAAACCGCTATCATTACACACAGTGTATTCTCGACATATTTACAATAGTCACACTTTTCTGTAAAACGAAAAGCAAATTATAAAGTAGAATTAACCCTGTCCTCATGCCAAGCAAACCTCATCACACAAAAAACCGCGGAGATTGAGGGGAAAGCAGGACTACTATCAGAAGCATGCTTGCAGTGTACTTACTAATAAAATAGCGATATCATGTAATCCTTAATAGATCCAACTCAGGGCACCCCAGAAACACACTCGAGAAAGAAGGTTGCGCACATTCAACTGAAGTCTCGTCGTCGGCGAAGAGCAGTTTTTGTCGAAGCGTATCCAACAAACACATCACAAGAATTCCACGAACTCCGGTGAAAAAAATGGCTGTTACCGAAAAATGTTCATTGACGTATTCCGGCCGTTTACAACGAAAAAAACACGGCCGCGTCTGCAACGCACGAAAGCAACAGAATACTGAAGAGCGCATTTCGAAAACCGGACCTACGTGGCCCGCCTATTTCTATAACTAGGTAAACGGCGAAAACCGCAGCCCCAGAGATCCTATCAACGTGACAGGGAGAGTCACGTGACAAATTTTCGTCCAAACGTTTTCGTTCTACGCGCCCTACGTAGAGAGGTCACGCCGGGTCACGCGTTTCGCTCCACCCTTTTGATGTGCCCGCTCGCTGACAGCCACACGAAGACACAAAGGCAGGTGGGGAGGATTTGCAAAAGGCGAGGTCGAAGGGGCATCAACAACGCATGAGAGGAAAGGCTGCTTTTTCCGGTGACCTTGTCGCCTTTCCTAGTCTGTCAGCGTTCTGCTTCCATTGTGGGCCTCAGAAAGATAATCTCCTTTCTTGAAAGCGAAATGGAAGGGGTGCTTATGTCTTGCGGGCTTGTCGCCATCCCCTCCCGACTCGCTCGCAGTGGCCTCCCATGGCTGTCGTGCCGACGAAATTAGGAGCGCAGCAGGGACATTTTCTCTCGCAAATGACGATCGGGTGCTGAGAATACAAAGCAGCTCTTTCGGCGTCCATTTGATGTTCTCGGAGTCGGTCGTTGACGCATCGCCCGTTTGCCCGATGAACCTGGCCCCGCAGGACAGGAGATCGCGTACACTTCCTCCGCTTCCTCTCCTTCCCCCAAGATTTCCCTTTCCGGTACTCCCACGGAGCGGGCGGGCTTTGAGCTTGAAGCCGAAAATAAATGTTGTTGAAGTTGAAAGATTGTCCTGTCGGTATCGTCCCTTATGTGTCTCCACTTTCTAAATGTTTTAAAAGCACCAACACGCTAAAATAGTACAAGTTCCGGGATTTCATTTTAAATCCCCAAGTGTGATGCGGAAGCCGCGACACGGAGCCCCGGTCGTTTCCGCTCTTTGTTATCGCTATGATTTGACAGTGTTCAATCACAATGCAAGACACACCCAGAGCAACGCTCGCTTTTGCAATACACCGCTAGCACGATGGCAGCACTTTTTGTAAAAGCGCAGTCACACCGGGGATGTAAGCAGTCGCGCGATGCTACTAAATCGCATCGCAAAGAAAAAAGTAATTAAATGATCACTCTGGCTTGCGCGATGAGCGAGTCCAACGCCTTCGTTGGCGAGACGCTTCTCAAAAACTCTTGCTCCGAACGCCATTGATTGGCTCAGCCTGTCCGCGACTAGAGCGCATCTCAAAAAGTCGGGTCAGCAAGCGACTGCTCAAATCCCATCGCTTTTTACCCGCGATGGTCGCTTTTGCGATGAAAGTTATCGCGCGACTAGATCGCATCACTGGTGTGAACGCGCCGTCAGGCGCATTCCCACTGGCGATGTAAGCAGTCGCGCGATACGACTAGATCGCATCGCAAAAAAAATTAGATGGTCACACCGGCGCGTGCGATGAGCGAGTCCAACGCCTTCGTTGGCGAGTCGTTTCGCGAAAACTCTCGCTCCGAACGCCGTTGATTGGCTCAGCCGCTCCGCGACTAGATCGCATCGCAAAAATGTCGGGTCGAGAAGCGACTGCTCAAATCGCGTCGCTTTTTGCCCGCGATGGTTGTTTGTGCGATGAAAGTTATCGCGCGACTAGATCGCATCGCCGGTGGGAACGCGCCTTTAATGTCGAACCAGTCTGACGGCGCGTCCCGATATTGGCGTGTGTACCTACGCGCGAGTACAACATCCGGCACAATTTGCGTTTGCAAAGCCTGGTTCAGCCGTGTCAAAACATTCAGCCAACCTTTGGACTGGAGAAATCAAGATACAACCAAAATAAGATAAACTGGCCAGCCGAAGAAAACTTGATTTCTATTTAATTAGGTTGAAGACCCCCCGCGTACATCAAATACCTCATCAGCCGAACTTCAAGGCAGTAAGCCTAGTTCTGGCACTTGTTTGGCAACTTTGGCCCGTAGCTGCCAGATGACAGCCAAACTATCGGGAAGCTACGCCTAACTTCGGCACTCGTTTGGCGACTTGGGCCCAAAGATGCCAGATGTCAACCGAGCAACAAGGTAGTAAGCCTAACTCTGGCACATTTGTGGCGATTTTGGCCCGAAGGTGCCGAATGACAGCCGAACTATCAAAAAGTGAAGCCTAAGTTTGGCACTTGTTTGGCGAATTAGGGCCAAAATACCCAGACTGTTGCCAAGGGAGGTCATGTTTGGCTCTACTTTGGCTTCTTCGGGCATTTCAATTCCCTAAACTCCCAGACAAAAGCCAAGTTTTGGCCCAGAGCTCGGCGCTACCTGGGGTGATATCTGATGTGATGACGGAGACAGCAACTTGCTCTTCTTCTGAGAGGCTCGTCACCTTGACCCAAGCAGACCCTCTTGTTTTAATGTAGCTTTCAAAAAGCTTTCCAGACAGCTCGTAAGCTTGCAACAGCTGATGCCGTATGCCCTGTGTTCGGCAGATGTTACGGAAGTTCCGAACATTTGAGGCAACGGCCTTGAAGTATGCATGCTTTGCCTCGGACCGCATTCCCCAGTAGCGACGGGGCTGGCCAAACTTCTGTATGGAGCTCGGGTAATGCAGCAGATGGTGCAACTTTGCGGTGACTGTTACGGATGGGTAAAGGGACGTGAAGGAATCCAGAAATCCTTGGATTTTCACCTGCAGGTAAGCAATGCAGTCTCGTGGAATATTCTCTGCCAGGATTATATCGATGCAATGTCTGTAGGCCAGGTAAACTTCCCAGTGTGGGTTGTTGACGGGCACAGATTTTCCGGAGATCTGTGGAAGGAGCCTGAATAAACACCACTTTTGAGCTGCCGTACCTCTCAGGTTGGCTTTTCCTTGCAGAAACTGATCCTTTAGTGCAAGAGGGGCGGCCTTCTTGTCATGGAAGCCACAGTTGAAGCTTGTTACCTTGTTATCAGATTTCTGAAGCATGCCATCTTGAATCAGACCTCGCAGGACATGCTGCATGACAAGCCCCATTCCCCCTTCCAAAATGTGATGCATGGCATCTGGAGGGAATTGTGTTGTGATGTCAAACTCTGTTAGGCTTTGAAGTGCTGGAACGACAGATCTGCCGTACAGAGGTCCGTTTTGTGTTGGATTGCGAGCAAATGCTTTCAGGTGGCTCTTGTGTCCTGCAGTTGGCCTCAGAGAGAAGCTTATGTAGATGCCCGTACCGAGCAAGGAAAAAACGACATATGCGACCACTGCTGAAGCAGCATTGGAGGCCTGCCATTCTGTGCATGGAGAGGTTGTCTCCGGTGAAAGCGACTGTCAACAAATTAAAATACTTCCCTGGTGCATGCACACCATACTCATGGACATGGTTTAAGTCTTGGATGAGCGGAGCAAGAACTCGATCCAAGCCATACTTCTTAACGTCTTGGTACTTGACAAGCAACAGAAGATGCACGGCCTTATAATTTCGATCGGTGCCTTGGGTGAATGTTGATGATCGAGAAGTAGACAACCAGAATCCTATGCGACCCAGCTGCTGCACCATTGGATTGCTCAGCTCAAGCTCATCCGAGTACAGGAGGAGGAAGATTGTGGGTGTCCCACTGTCAATGTGCTGCAGGTGTTGGCTGATGAAGTCTCCATCATTGATGTCCTGAAGCACCTCAGGCTGTTCTATGGGCTGCATTACGCTTTCCAGGATGCCGGGGCATGATAGCAGGTTGCTGAGCAGTTGTGAAACTGGTATGTAGCACATAGTGTGTTGCAATGCTTGATTGTCTGTTTGAAGTGGCATCACCAAAGGATCTGTGTAAGGCAGGTTCTCCATCACATACTTCTTTCTGAGGTAGGTTGTCTGGATCCCCGAGAAGATGTCCTCGACAATGCCTTCAGAATTTTGAAGAGAAGCCAATTTCTCCCTCACTGACACGGTGACATTCTCCCTCTCGAGGACCTCTCGGGTTTGGTCCGCCACACTTTCAAAAACTTTGGGAACAACGTTTCTCATCACTCGCAGGATTTCATCAGCAGTGCTATGGGCTAGCTTTAACTGCTCTGTAATCTTGAGGTGAAACAACGCTAACTGTTTTCGGAGAGCACTTCTGTCCTCTCTTGGTTCTGCTGCAGAGGGTTGTCCTGACGACGACGGACCGGGTGGGTGTGCACTCTCGCATTCGGTTTCAGTTGCGGTTTCATCATTGGTACACTCTAAAACCGGTCTCTCATAAAAAACGCTGTCCCTCTGATTTTAGAGGGGACAACAATGCTTTCAGGGGGACAGCTCTTTTTAAGAGGGAAATTGAAAAATAAAATAGCAACATCTAGAGGGACACCAACATATTAGGGAGTTTTAGCAGGTCGTTTCCACGCGAACGGTTCGTCCTTGAACGCATCGGTGGCGCCACTGCGCATGCGCGCGCGAGTCGTTCGAGGCGTCGGGAGGCTCTTCTCGTTGGTTTCCCCCATTCCAGCCGCTGGAGTCGTCACCGCAACGCAGCCAGCGACCGTTCACGACTCATGTGAAAAAAAAGATGGCGGTCGGTGCGGCGACGGACTTCGCCGCCGACCCAGTCGAGCGTTAGGCTTAAGACAGCGGGAGGCGATTTTCCATCCTGTTACTCTGCTTCATTCGAGAATTTGAACCAAATCATTTCGAGGAATGCTCAGAATGGTAAACGGTCGTGAAGGCTGTAAACTGCGCATGCTAGTAAATATTTGCGATCTGCGGGCAGACTAGCTGCCGTGGCGACCGCGAGCAGACGAAATGATTTGGTTCGATGGCACACAACGTGAACGATCGTTCAAGTTCAAGATGACAGAGACACACCACATACCTTTACGCTTGTTCAGATACTTTTACTCTATCTAGCTTCGCAGTTCTTGAAATTCCGACCGGCAAATGTTACGTCCACCGTCTTGTTTACATCAGGCGTACGCCGGAAACACGAGCCGCCACGGACTTGCACGTTGGAGAATGTTTCACATGTTTACTAGAAGATGTCGCCACCGTTAAGCATTATCATCATCATCGTTTACACGGTTGCGCCAGTCTCATGTTTCGCTAAAATATGTCAAATTTCACGTACGGTTTCACGGAACGGACCAGCTGCACCGTTCGTGATTTCGGAACCGTATGCTCAAAAAACGACTAGCTAAATCTCCCTATTAAGAGAGACCAAGGAAACCGTTTCGTTAGTCCCTCTGAACAGGAAAGACAGAAAAAAAGATTCACGCGTGCCCTTCATATTAAGAGGGGACTGGTCCCTCTTAACTGGACCAATGTAGTTCGGTCAGGAGGAGGGGGGCAGGCGCACTAATCCACGGCAAAGAGTTCGGACTGTGCTAAGGCTTCGCGCCAATTCACGGAGAGCTGGAAACGGTCGTTGCCGGAGAGTCGCAAGCGTCATGCTGCTCGTTTGACTTCCTTAGGGTGAGTAATCCTGTCATATTGGCGCTTTTGTTTTGGGTGCATTGCGGGTGGGAATAACGAGCCATGAATATTTTCACGCTGGCTGTGAGATGCACGAGCTTTGCATGTAGAGTGAGAGTGTTCACCTGTAGTCCGCGGACGCGGTCGCTTCCTGGATCTGCTCGTTCAGCTAGGACAAAGCGTCGCTAATCGTTTGCCCTGCCGTGAGCCGCAGGGCTGTCTTTCGCACAGAACACTTTTAGCGGGTTAGGGTGTCCCAATGTGTACGCGTCTGTCTTAGGCTGGTGATATCAGACCATTTTCTGTCCGACGCTTTTGTCTACTTTTTAATTTCGAACGCGCGTTCGTTCTTCTCCCAGCTCGAGCTGCTAGCTTTGGCAATGCTACGCCGGCATTTTATTGCCGGCACTTTCCTTGTATTTTATCCGTGAGCGTACACTGTCGGCATCGAGTACTACAAAGGATGGCATCACCCTCCCTAAAGCGCGAAACACATGTACGACGAAACCGTCCGATCCGACGTCCGACCGCGCAATACGACGGTCGGAGGCGAGGGTTTTCAACGCTCTCCGATGCTACGAACACCCTCTCCCCCCAAGGTCATTCCGGCAGTCCGCACGTCGGATCGGAAGGTTTCGTCGTACATGTGTTTCGCGCCTAAGGAAAAGCCAGCATAAAGACACCCTAGCTGGGGCAGTCAGTGTTTGTAAGCCTGGCTCGCCGATTTGTTTCTCGGTGTGCACTCTAAATGCTTGAGGTTGACCGCCCGAGAGCGTTGATTGACAGAAAGAATGTTGGCGATTTTGCGTTTGTTTGCCTTCACAATTCATTACAGCAATTTACACTGCAACGTTATGTTGTAGACATCGTTAGCGTTGCAGTGATTATGAACATTTTTTCTCAAGTGGGCGGCGAGCAAAAACCCATAGTGTGTGTGTATGTTTGTGAAAAGGGCAGGGGGACTGGACGAGCACAAAACAAAAAGAAGAAATAATGTGTTCGCGTTGCGTCGGCGTCGCGGCGTCTGCGGAAAGGGGGGAAGGGTGTAGCGGTGGCCAGGGAGTACATTTTTTTTTTGTATTTCTTTGGCGTACTGTTTTGTTCGTTATATTTTGACGGTCATGCCGGCGCAGCTACCGGCTTTTTTTTTTTTTTTTTTTGTCGCCGACCATGTTTTTGTTTTTGGAGATTTTATGATGTTTATTATGCTCTTTGTTTTCTGTAGCTGGCTGAATATTTTTTTTTTCTGTGTCGTACATCCGCGAAAAATATATAAACAGAAGTTTTCTTTTTTTTCTTTTTTTTTCTTTCTTATGCGCTTTAGGGCTAGGTTGACTATGGGTGTTAAATGACTGACCGTTATTAACAATCTTGTTTTCAGAGTGAGGCAATGGCAACGAACGTTGACATGAAGGGAATCAGGCGGGGGTTCCGCTCGGATTGCTCGAGCTCTACCGGGACCCTCTGCACGGTGGAACGCACCACCCTGAGTGGTGAGCCTACTGCGGCCACCCGCACACGGTTCACAACGAACTCGGTAATTATTAACTTTTTTGTATTCTGGTATATAGGTAGGCTCTATTTACGTTCTGTTGGCATATGCACTGCTTCTGAAAAAAAAAAAATAGTAAATGAATGGCTTGCGGCGAAATGTTTACAGAAATGTAATTTTTTATTTGATTATGTTGCTTTCTAAAACATGCACTATAGATCACTTCTGCAGCTTCGAGCCGCAAATGCAATCCATGCTTTCCAAAGCACATGGGGCTTCTAAAGTTCATCTACTACTAAATGCGTTTTCGTTTTGTCTTGGTAACACAGAAACGATTGATTCTCGTAAATTAATTAAAACTGCAGTCTATTCTCGTACCAAGAATTAATAGTAGCAGAAGTTACGTCATAAGCTAATGTCACTCGCTATTTCATCGTATACAGATTGGGTTCCGAATCTTTGAAATGTTTGCACTCTATTTTCGCATTTGTTTCCTACCTGCTTGATAACAGGGGAAAGCGCTTCATTACCTTTATTCTAATTCCCACTCTCTGTATCTAAAGGAAAACAATATGGTCTTTCATTCAGCTAAAGGTGGATGCACAACTTCGGTTCCACAACACGATCGTCACCATGCTGGGAAACCTGGAGGAGGTAAAAGGGGCCTTCTGCGGAGACAACCCAACAACATTCTTGAACATTAAGACCATCCTCCGGTCTCGATTGGCCAGAAGTTCTTTCATCACCTATGGTATGTGAAAAAGCGAATGCAAAAATAGAAATCTAAGTTTGACGCTGACGCAATTTTTTTTTTTTTTTTTTAACAATTGCTGCTTGCAGGACGATTTTACCCCTGACGAAAAAGTTCCCAGACCCAAGACTTTCTTCGGTTCGGAGAAAGGGATCGTTTCTGGGAACTGGTCAGTGAAACTCACCGCTAGCACGACTATGGAGGGGGCACTAGTCATGTGCTTATGGGTGTATTACATAACGGGGCTCTCCTACCCTGTGGCATGTGGACAAACCCTTGGACTCCTCTAGGGTCTGCTCGTTGAAAATAAAGTGTTTCGATTCAGTTTATGTCGGAGAAGCTCATAAAATCGCTTATGGCCGTTCAAAAACAACAGAAATTCTGAGCTTCTGCTGATGACAAGAGACGCCGAATAATTCGTTTTTAATGCTATGAAGTAGGTAAATACGCTCTAAAAAAAAGCACAGGGATCTACTTTCCCGAGCCAGCACTTGGAAAGTCAATCACCGTAACTCACGGAAGCAGCTCAGCGAATCACGATGGCGAAACATAAGATTAGACCAAAAAAGGCAGTCCGAGTTGTGACATTAACCAATGCAAAACATCACGCTTGTTGTGCTTAATGTCGTAACTCGTTTTTTCGGTATAATCATATGTTTCGGCATCTACATTCGCTGAGCTGCCTCCGAGAGTTATGGTGATTGTCTTTCCAAGTGTTGTGCGAGAAAGTAGACGCACGGGCTTTTCTTTAGAATGTACTTTTCTTTTTGTGTTATCCGCTAAAAAAAGTTTTTTTTTCTAGCACGATTGTATTGTTATTGTTTATGATAGGCAAAATGAGTCACTTTGCAGCACGAAATTTTTTGTGTGATAGTTTCCAAGAAACGCCGATTTCTGGCGTCGTTCTAAGTCTTTTTTATTCGTAAAAGCTACCAGAACATCTTTATAGAATTATTATTTTGATAAACACATATCAATATATTTTCTTGTGTCATGGCAAATAAAACAGTGTTTACTCTTAAAGATTGTTACTGTTTTCTTTAACACATTGATTCCGTTTATCAAACAAGATATACAGATAAAATTTTAATTCTGCTACGCAGCACAGAATAACTTTGGTTATACAATATCAGCGAAAGTGCGAGAAGTGCAGTGCAGCATGTCAGCTGACACTCAAAACACGAAGGCGCTGAAATTGTACGATACAATAACAGAGGTAACTTAAAGCCGGGGTCACGCTGCTTATACATCATACAAAATACATTCTGCAGACATGTTCCAATGCGAGTCACCGCGACATCCGTGGTTTGTATGCCACGTGACAAAGTAACCTCTTGATTGGTTACCTCGTGGCGTACGAAGCGCGGATGTCGAGGTGACTCGTTTCGGAACATGTCGGCAGAATGTATTTTGTATGAAGTATAAGTAGCGTGGCCCCGACTTAAGGGGGACTGTACCCCTGCATTTTAAGCGGGCCACCGTCCCTCCGAATTTAAGAAAGAAAATATCTAAAAACTGTCCCTCTT